AAGTATACACTTCGAGGGGCGTAATTTAGATGGTAATTTGAAAGGTAATTTGATATAGTCTTTAGGGTTGAAGACGCCATATTATGAGTTATCTTCTCACCTATTATTATTGGGCCATTAAAATTTTTCACATGCGACACTCTGGAATCCATTAAAATCACGACTTCTTTCAGTGCGCAATGAGTTGAAGAAGAGAATTGTGAATACTTCACTTGTTTAATCCGATTTTAATAAGTGTATTTTGGGAATTCATCGATGAAAATTGTGATTATTATTGTTGGCATTTTCCTTCCTTTTCAAATCAAGTTTACGTTGATCCCTTCTAGCTGCCCACGTTCTTTAGCTTATTCTCTTTTTGCATATATGAAATTCATTCTGCTTTTGTACTCGGTGGAATATGAAAAAAGACGATTTTTCCCTTTATCCCTTTTACTCTCCAGTGAGCAGGTATTTAAAGAAATAACTTCTAAAGAGTGTCTCGGAAAATGATTTTCCGAGATAGAAAGTAAATCTTTTCATTTTTGCTCAAGTGATTCGCAAATATTTATAGATGCACTTTTAGATGTTTCTGTGAAATTGTGTGGATTCAAAAAGAAATTTATGTCTCTACAACTCGACGAAATCAAACACACTGGAGTACTATTGAAAAGCATCATCTCAAGTACATACGTGAATTTGCTGTTTGCTGAAGATTTACCTTTCCATTAAAGCCTCTCCTTATGCCTTTCTTCCAATTCCATCTTCGATATAATGGGACTGAGATGACAAAGAATCAGTAAAGAATGAGTCGGAGTGATTGAAATCTCACAGAGACTGACTTCACTTCCCTTGTTATATAAATAAACATTCATTCTTGATTCTGGGGCTTCCGAAAGCTTCGAAATTATGGAGTGGGACGAAAGTAGTTCTATACTTAGGCCCTAATTACATCTGAAATAAGACGTTTTGTGGGTGTTCAACTCCCAATTCGTAATTACAGTCTTTATCCATGCCTTGCAGTGTGATTAAAAGTCACCATAAGCACTGAGAGCGTAATGGGAGAAATAGATACTATTTGCAATGTCTCACAGAGGATATAATTGAGAGTGACAAGGAGACAAAAACCTGAGAGAGGCTCACAATAGAAAGAGGAAAAATAATTTTCTTGCATTACTCCTTCTCGTCCTTCAACACACGAAACTGTTATTGTTGCCGTTTCCCGGATTTTCTTGCACCTCATCCTTCCGTTTGGATTTATCGTGAATTATTCGGTCGTTTCCGCACTTCTTCAATCATCATGGAATTTTCGAGGATGCAGACGAATTTTTCAGGGTTATTTTTTTGTGCAATCATCTTTGATGTCACTTCTCGTTTGTCGTCTAACAAGACACCGTGAAGCTCCGTTGTCCTTTCCCATTCAATTTCTCAACGATCCACTCCTTCGTGCCACGCTCTCTACACAGAACGACAGCGTGGAAAACAATTTTCCGGCGTTGGGGGTGCGTCCAATTTGTGTGACTGGGATTGCCGTTGTGTCCTCTACTCTTGAAAAGCAAAACTCAATGGGGGGACACTCTCCATGGGATTTCATCTGGTGCTCTCGATGCTGTTCTTCGCTTCCACTTTCAAGATTTATTTATTATTTCTCCATTGTAGTCTCTGCTTTTGTACGAGACCTCTTCTGTTCTGCCCCCAAAGGCTCCCACTGCATCTCTGCTGAGTATCGGGGAGGAAGTTGCAACAGCACCAAATTGCAATGGCCATTAGCACCAATAATAATTCTCACAGTGCGACATAGAAGGACTCGCAGAACGCTGTCTGGCAAAGTGGAAAGCGTGTAATGCTAAGAATTTTTCTACCTTCAAGAGGTCCCCATAAGAGGATAACAAAGAGGAAAAACCTGCCTCAAATGGGAGCTTGTTAGTATGCACGAAAATGGAAGAATGTAGTGAAATATATTTTGGCTGTGCCAAAAATTGAACTGCAAATGACAATTTTGAACCCCAATTTACATCACACACTTATCCCAGATCATTTGAAGAGCGTAATTTTCCTTTTCGCAAGTCGTAGAACTTCTTTTTGCATGAATTAACTCTCTTACAAAGTTTCCAAATTTCCCTCTTACACCTAAGAACTTCAGACGTTATACACCTTTTCCAAAAGTGACTTTCCTCTCATTTTGTACACCAATTAATATAAATATTAATTAGAAGAATATCTAAGCATTTCCTCAGATTGAGATGACAGTTACTTTTAAAGCTCCATGATTTTCCCAGATAATGTTTCTTAGAGAAGTTATATAGTGACTCATGGGGTATAGAAATTATTGGCAATCTAAATGAATCTCTTTCGAGGTGTTGAAGTTTATTATTCTAATTTTTCTGTGTTTTAAACTTCTCCTTAGAAATCTCTTAATTCATTAAAAATTCCCTTATCATGAAGGCACTCTGCGAAAGTCACCGTCACTCGGAATCACTTTACGTTAGCAATTTTCCAACCTTGAACTAAATCTTCAAGCCTGAGAAAAGTTAAATGAATCCACCACGCTTCTCATGGCTCTTGTACATACAAATATTAATTAAAACTTACACCCCAGTGACAATGTCGTATGCCCGAAATTTCCCAGTTTGTCGTTTATTCGGTCAGGATCATTAGATTATGAACAAGGGTTGAAACATCCCTCCTCGTCTATTTAGCATTCCAGAAGAAACGAGGCATATTCTCCCATCTTCTCATCAGATGTCACTCGACGATGCTCGGTAATGGCAGAACATTGCCAAAAATCGTCCCATTGACATTCTCGCAGTTCATCCTCCAAAGTATGCGTCGCAGTTATTTGAGACGGCTCCATATGTTAAATTGTGATTAATTGAACCTAATGATTACCGAAATGACAAGGATTCTCACGTGGAGTGGAACAATTAATAAATTTTTTACCACCCCCAATCTCCCAATTAGGGCGAATGTCTTCCCAGCAGAGGCACGATAAGGTGACGAGAAGAAATTCAATTGGATTGACGTGATTAATTGATACAAATGAATCACATTCTAATTGTGAACTCATAATTCATATTAAGCACCCAGAGGGCTTCTTCCCTCACTGTCTGAAGGCCTATAAAGTACATTTCTCTTTTGTGTTCGCCATCTCCTTTCACGGGGAACATTCTCGCGTTATCTCTCCATTCAGTCTCACCGTCTTTGGCGAAGGTGTGGGGCGAGAAAGAAGATTAAGAGCTAGTAATTAGTCTACCAGTTGGTTGTGGTAATACTTAATTTTATGCCCGCACCATCGCCAAGGAGGAAAGGTTGATTCGGAAGAGACGGTCGATGCTCCTCGAGTACACAAACATTGACGGCAGAGCAGATTTAAAAGTAATTAATTTTGCAAATTGACGCAGGAGTTTGATGATTTGTAAAGAGGGGAGAATATATAAGAAAAACACAAATGACATATTTTTACTTTGCGTGCACATAGCAGGAATATTTTCTCTGGCTCGAAAAGTAAATAACATGAAAAATGATTGACGATTGACGTTCGTTTGGAAGCAGTGCGTGCAAAAGCACATATTTCGCTTACACATATTTTCCAAAAAGGATTTCGTTAATCCCCGAGGGAATTAAGAGGAATGAATTTTGGTATGAATTATAGGGAATTTGTGTACATATTTTGAGGGAGCGACACAAGTAATATCATGATTGTGTCACATTAGATTAATGATTAACTTAATTCACTGATTTATTATTTAATTATTCCATATGAGAAGAATATGTTACAAGCACAAAGCGGAATTACGATTGAGAATTACCATATAGAGAGTTGCAGAGTGATTTTAATTTATTATTCCAAGCAACCTGTGATTTTTCACAACTCATCAGTCCATTTAGATTCCACCTGTCCCCGAAAATAATCCTCCCTGGCGACCGGAGCCGCAGCAAAAGGGTTTCCAAGCAATAAATAACACTCCGCATTTTAACACTGCTAATTATGTATGTCTGAAAAAGCTCATGTTTTTTCGACACGTTTGCTCTGCTTTTCTTCCCTCAGCCAGGTGAAAGGTTGGCGAGGGGTTGACAAAAGGAGGAGAATGTACTATGTATGACCTACATTCACGTGTGACTGCGGCAGGAATGACAATCCTCACACGCAGACAGCAAAAAAGTCTCACATTGTCATTTCTAATTTATACGGAAAGTTTTGGGTCCGCTGTTTTCCTGCTGCCTGCCCAGAACATGGCCAAATGGGAGGGAACTCTGCACAACATAAACGCTGCCACATATCATCAAGTGTCAAAGTCACCCTTAGGACCGACCAGAGTTCGTTCTGTGACAAAGTTTTTCTTAATCATACTGTAGAAAATTGTGTTGAGTGTGAAAATAATTTAACCTCTCTCTCTCTCTCGTTGAATGTACAAAACATACTTGCTGTTTGACATGTGTGCATAAATATTTGAAAATAGATTAGATTTCTTTTATTTACACATTAGAGGACTTTTTAAACTCTAAATCACACTTGGCTTGTCCCCAAATGGTCTCAACTGGTGAGAGTCAATTCTGTGTGCGATGCCTGATGCATGCATGCTGAGGGAAGTTGGCTGGAACTCGAGCCAGGAGGAATTTATCCTCAGCACTTGAGTGTGAATCGCGTGGGAAAAAGTGAGGTATGAAAGCATGCAAGTATTTCCGAGAGCATTTTATGCAAACACGCCGTACATAGAGAGACACTAGACAACATCATAGTGGCAATATGGTGTTGTTTGTCATGATTTCCATCATCACAATTCACCCCAGTTGGCCACCCACCCCCTCGGCTGCACCCACCACAAGAGGTGGATGATGTTTTACAACAGCAGCCGCACTTAATGTCAAATAGCTGAAGATTTATGTGTGTCCACCAGTTTGTGGAGATATTTTAGTACTCTCTGCACACATACACTCATTTTTCGCCAACATTATTTGCGATACCCGCGAACGAACTTTTATTGCATGCCACGCTGTTCGGAATATGTTCTCACAAAACTCACCTTATTGAGATTTGACAGTTGATCAGCACTTCTTTCTTCACTGTTTTCGCTGAATGTTGATCTCTGAAAGAGAAGAGAAATTCTGGTGAGTTAACAATGCTCTTGATTTCTGCGAAAAAGAATTGTTTAATACTGAATGCAATACTTTTGACTCCGTATCAGATACCAAAAAAAAATCGCAACAATACGTGAATTGTAAAGACGGGAAGGACAAAACTATGTTATAGTGTGAAATTTAAGAACCAACAGACATTGATACCACATAGAGGACATTATGCGGACTGCATGGTTTCAATTCAATTTTAGAAACATGTTTGAGAGTAAAACTGAATGAGACAGCAAATAAAAATTTTGTCCAGCGAATGCGAGAAATTTGGGTCAATTACTGTCATAATTTACATGGACCGAAAAAAAACTGCAAAGCGAATTAATCTCTCCCCCAGTTGTGTGTCTTCCGAAAAATGTGTTTTTCTGCAAAATTTCATAAAGAATAATAAACGAGGCAAATAAATCTTGGAGTGTGGATTTAGAATTTTGCACTAATTAAGCATTCTAATTTATTTCAGGAGGCAATGCCTGTTTGCGCGCTCTCGGAGGTAACATTTGAGCCAAAATTCACTGCTGAGGAGTTTTCCTCCGCATTATGAATAAATTACAGTGACCCACAAAAAAAGGAGACACAGAAAAAAGGCCGAGAAAGCATTTCAGCGAGACTGGGAAGTCAATATACAGTCATTCATCAACATTTCCTGGAAAGCGTTGGCGTACAATTTGAGAAATTTAATGTAAACTCAAAGTATTTAAAGGAATGCTGTGCCCAAATGGGGCACATTTTCCACTCCAGATATGTTTGTGGAAAAATGAAAGCTCGCCACGGCCGAATGGAGTGGGTAAATGTTAATGTTGTGTGTGGAACATTAGAATTCTCTTAAAATTTTTGACGATAAAAATAACGCTCTTCTTTCGACATAAAAGTCCGCTTTTTCAGTAGGGATACACAACACACTCTTGGGGGTGAAATATAAGGTCAGGGCGAGCTATCAATTTGAATTTTATGGTGAGGTCGTAGAGAACATCCAAAGCAACTCAATCGATTAATAGACCTCCTTGTTCGATGATGACGGTGTGGCATATTCGGAATCCCTTCTGACATTTTCATTGATCCCAAATAGACATCCCGGCAATATTCGCCCTCGAGCTCCGCTTTCTTGTGCCAGCTGTACTTTTACTCGTGTCCCAATACCTGGTGGAAATCTCTTCGGTGATGTAGACTCCCCAAGAGCTACACTATTCGCTATATATCAACGTTTCGGCGTCTGAAGACTTTGAGGTGTGTTCCATATTTGGATTTAAAGGGGAGAGGGCACTTTATTAGAATTGAAGCGGGCGCTTTCATTACGCTCACATCAACCCACTCAGGCAATTTCGCATATAAAATCTCACTGTCTCCGCTATGAAGGGGGTATTGGGGACGTATAAATATAGACACACCCGCTTTCCTCTCATTTTCACCACTTTCGACGCATCGCTCGGGGCGGCCAAATCACTCTCCTCCGCCACCCTTTGTGAAGACTTTGAAGTGTTCACTTCCAATGGCTTTGCAGCTACGAATGAAGTCTATCTTCTCGAATCAGCAAACTTTTTCTTATGTTCTGTGCACTAATTGAAAACATCTTCTGCACTTATCAGCCCTTCACCGCATCAAACCACCACTCTCTTGGGGCCTTCACTTCCGAGACGCACGTTCAATTTAGCTGCAGGACCAGTGCGAGAGTTTACACCCTCCGACCTCGGAAAAACGGGATGAAAACGCACAATCTACGGAGGAATTGTGTATAGTGGGGCAAAAGGTGTTTGGGGTGCTCAGCCCAGTGAACAGTTTTAATTTAAAATTAAATCGTCTCCATTTGGGAAAATGTGTCGCGGCGTCGGTAAATTAACAAAAACCCACCCGCACAAGCCACCAACCCCTGAGAAATGGAATCGTGTTATTTGGCAATTAATGTCAAATTTGCAGACCTCGCAATTCACACTGTGCCACCAGTTTGCAGGAGTCTCCCATTTCACTTGAAACTGTGCCACGGTTGGGTGTCCCCAGGAAAATATCCATATTTAAAGACACTTTCCCACTTACTTAATTCCATATTCATCAGTTGGATATGAAAGTAAATAATGCGCAAATGATGGCTGAGGCCGCCTCTGCGGTTGGCACTGAGGCTTGGATGGGGAAGATGATGATGTGATTGACACAGTGTCTGAAGCTGTGGGCGTTCCGGGGCGACAACGAAGAAGTTCTGCTCCGGGGGGATTTTGGGCAGAGATGAAAAATGAAATGGTAAGTCCCAAACCATCCCATGATTAAATATTTATGACAAATAGATGACGACATGATTGCCATCCCCGTTGATATATTATTTGCTCAGCAGTAATTTTCAACCCATTTCCCGGTCAATTCAGCCATCTCAAACAAAAGGAGAGTTTTCGGAAACCCGAGGGAAAATCCGGTTAAATCCACACGGATTTCCAATTGAAGTGTTATTAATACTTTGTTGCTTTCTGTAGAACATGTGCATACGTATAACTTATTTTCCTAGTTGTTGCGTCTGACTTTTGCCCAGATTGGCGATCAGTTTGCAGAGGGTGAGTTATAAGAAAATAATTGATTGTGTTTGTGTGTAGCTTTGGATGGTAAATAATATAATTGATTTCTCACACTTTCCCTCCACACTTGGTCCACTCTATCTTTTGCAGTTGCTCTGTATTTGGACGCCCGGGAAAGGAAAGTTAGTGAATCAATTGAGGTGAAGTCGTTTCTGATGGGAAATTCATGTTAAACGTGATGGAGATTCTTGGCGGAGGGAGTAAATTGAATTACACAGACCGAGGAAAGTTTACCATAAATTGGTGTCTCCTCTGCACTCATCACATTGCACAGGAAGTAAACACACAATTCTCACATTGTAATGATTTCAATCTCTCTGGAATGATTGAAATTTAATTTTCTCCTTCACACACCAACTCACACTTTCCCCAGTATAACGAATTTATGCAAATTTTCACCCTCCAAATGGCACAATTTTCAGCATCACCACTGAATAAAACATATATACAATACATATGGATTTAAGCATATTATGCATATTCGTAGAACAGATACATGGGACAAATCCTTGTTCACTTGAATTGAAAATAATCTAATTGATATCAGAAAACAGAGAATTTCTGCATTGAATGAAATATCAAAAGTTCAGAATCATAAGCCCTGTTATCATGCCAAACATCCCGAGGGAAACTTGCCGTAGACAGTATATATATTAAGCTGACTCTTGTCATATTATAATCTTTAACATGTGTTCTGTTGCTTCTCGTCGTGTTTCGACCACAAATCAAATTCCTCCTGCCACCGTATGAACTTTGGGGTTCACCATTTTAGATGACATATGCATCTACAGCTGACTTTCACCTCAAAAACGGAATGACGGAAGTGCACAGGAGTCAATTTACACGGACGTATTTCGCAATTAGCCTCACAGCCGCCAAATGGCATATTAATTGAAATAATTGAATGATCGCGATTGGATGTGCCCTAAAAGTTAACAAGTGAAGGACTCTTCTTTTCGGCCTAGGCTTACTGAGTTGTATGGTACATATTTCGGAGTAAATAATGGAAAAGCCACTCTAGGAAGGGTGAAAGTGGATGGCGAAAATGGGAAATGGAATTGCTCCAAGTGGATGGTACTCAGTTGTAATTGTCGAGAGCAAATGTTTTCAAATGAAGTCTCCGTATGTTGTTTGTTCATCCAATAAATTCATTTCTAAAGTAGGGGTGGTGACTCGCCTGGGGGTTGATATACCCAACGAGACAGGTGAAAGAGAATCTCAATTATTTCACAATTGACTCACACCAGCCGCCCAAATCAACAGCACTGCAGTCATGTGTGTCAATGCACATATGCAAATAAATTCAAACCACAAATAGAACATGTATTTGTACCACGGCCAAGAGTTGATATACAAACGAATGAAAGATTTTGATGATAAGATTTAAAAGAAAATGAATTTAATTTTTCTGTCTCTGAACAAACTCAAAAATTTGCAGAAAAATCTCATCCAATAACTCCAAATCGAACAGTTTGTGGAGTTATAATTAGAAAAAAAACACTTTATGTGTTTTTATATATGTTGTCAATAGAGGGAACATGAAAAGAAATAAATGAGAAAATGGGACACAAAGAAGAGCCTATCATCTCTTGCGATAATCTTTAATTGAACCCTCGATCGTTGGCTGTGTGTAAGGAGAATCGGCATAAAAAAAACTTCATGGAATAAGAAATGATATTATGTCGAATATCTTATTTGATGTGTCTGCCAATCTCTTCGGATTGTATCCATGACGTTTATCCCTCCACAAAACTGTCGCAAATCTCTTTTCGATTTCGCGGCACGCCGCCATTGGCATTCTTTCACGCAGATTCAATATTCCCAGAGGCTCACTTCTCCATCATCATCATCATTATCGTCAGACTCTCGGCTCTGGGTACTTTTGGCATTGGGGACGATGCGAAAGAGGAAAACTTTTCCTATTTCCCATAACCCACCCACCCTCGCCTCCCCCTTTGCGCTAGATGGGGGCTCTTTTTACGATATTAGCTACCAGCCTATCATTTCAACTGACAACACAAGAATCTTCAGTCGGATTTCTGCTGCTGGACAAGTGAAATGGGAATAATTCGGAGGAAAGTTTTCACCATTGAAATGATCCCAAATCTCCCAGAGCAAAATGTATGTGTAAATGTTGATGGAGGACACTTTCGCATTGTTTTCTTAGCGAAAGTTCATATTAGGTTTCTGCCATGCTGGCAAAAATTCGAAATATTGCGCACTGGTGAAAATATAGGTAAAAGGAAAACCCCAAGAAAACGTTCGTTTTTCTTTTCACGTCACTCCTGAAGCCTGAAGCATTGACAATGAAATGTGGGTGAGATTGTGTGAGAAATTGAGGGAAAAGAAATGGCACAAAGTTATCTCAAGATTTGCAGATTGTTTTCCACCATTGCGTGTCT